CTGTAGGACTGTAAATGACAAAACAAAGCTCCTCAAAAGATTAAAAGTAGGAATCGGGCATGGTGGTACCCATCTCTAATACCAAAGGGTATTAAAGACATTAAAACATATATTCAAGACATTAAAATCCTGTCTTAAAAAAGAAAACAAACAAAATAAAAGATCTATCATACGACCCATCTATCTTCTAGGGCAACATCTGGATATCCAAAGAAAATTAAACCTACCAAAGAGACAACTGCACTTTCATGTTTACTGTACTGCAGAATCAACCTAGGTGCAAAGACAACTAGAAAAGAAAATGTGGTATATTCCACAATAATGAATTCCTATACGACTGAATTAGAACAAACTCCAATGATTTTAAAGGAATAATTACAAGAACATCTAATGAAATTAGAAGATACAAATAAGTTACCTAAATTCAAAGAGAACACAGACAAATGTATTCTATGCTCTGAAAGTAACTGCCAACTAAGATTATTATATTCCGCAAAATTATCTAGCATGATTAATGGAAAAGGAAAAACTTTATCTGGTAAACAAACTGACACAACTTATGAAAACTAAGCCAGTATTACAGAAGATACCTGAAGAAGTTCTATGCACTGAAGAGTAAAGCGTGTATATAAGGATATAGGAAAGAAACACCATGATAGAACAGTAGCTAAGCGAATAAGGAACATGAAAAGGGGGGATCAATAAAATGATGAGAATACACAGCCTTCAATAATAATCTAACACAATAGGCTTCACAGCATAATTAGAACAGATCAATTCATGCTGAATAAGGGAGTATTCAAAACAATGTAACCATTTCAAACACACGTGCCTTTTATTTGTTAAATTAGCATACGATGCACTAGATATCATGGCATTTTCAAACAAAGTATATTTGGGTAGATTTTCTTTTCCTCTTCTCTCCTCCATATTCCTGGCACGGCTAGTTCCCTCATGACCTCTGCTACCCCAGTCTCTTTACCTCTTCCATGTCTCACATGTCCTTCTGCCCACTCTTCATCCTTCCTCATCAGCTATTTTTACCCTCCCTGGTGGGCTGAATGAGAGCAGAAAGACCCCTGGAGACCCCTGGATGTGCATCACCTCTGGTGGAGGACTGAGTCCTGCTCTGAGTGTGTGCTCGGAGTGTGACAGCTGGCTCACACGACAGTACTTTACATAGGAACCTCCTGCCCTGCACTCCCACCAGCATTGAATTCAAGCTCTTCTTTTGCTCCCACCCTCTCCCCAGCATGTAGTAATAAAAAAGGTCCCAACTAGAAGCTGCTGAGATGGTGCCTGTCATCCAGCCTGATGATCCCTAGGATCCAGAAGGCAGGAGAGCATGGAATGTAAGAGTACTCAACAGTACTGACCTTCCATGGTGCATGGTGAGGTCGGAGTTAATACACATAAGCCCTTACAACAGTGCCTGCCAATAACATATGAATCATTGCTATTATTTACTCACTTAAAAACATTTTAAAACATCAGAGATTCTGGAGTCCTGCTGCCCTTGAAAGCTGTCCTGTTCTGCCCCCTTGTGGGACATTGGGGTCTCCCACCAGCTGTCAGGTCTGCGCTTCAGCACCTGTACCCACTGGGCTATCCTACTGGCCCGAGATTTTATTCTAACAAAGGTTCACAATCACAATGGTCCTTAAAATGACAGTTCTGTTACAGAATGTATATAATCTCTAACCAAGTCAGCAGAATCAGCAGTCTCCCGCAGTGGACTATTTCACAGCCTTCTTCTGAAGACTGGGTCCAGATTTTAACACTCAATTTTGAAAGAAATCAAAAACCTAGAAATGTGCTTGGGGGAGAGCACCAGGAATAACCAACATCAAATGACAGACAGTTAGAGAAGCTGGAAACCTGACCTGGAAAGGACGAGGATGAGAGGTGGCAGTCTTTAATGGCTACCCTTCCTCTGTTTTAAACAGGAGGCCAGAGGGGAGCAAACTCAGCTCAATAAGAAAACTACGTAACAAACAGCAAACGCACTCGGGACAGGAATGACAACTTCCTAAAACACTTCTTTCTCACCTTGTTGCCACAGAGGCAAAGTGAAAACTCAACTGTGCTCCTAAGCAGGGCTAGCACTTTAGGTAGATTAGAAGATTAGACTTCATCTGGACCTACAAAAGTCTTTTTCAAATTGAGGATACACAGACTAATCCAAAACTGCAGGTGACTGGAGAGATGGCCTCTAGAGACAGGAGAGAGGGAAGAAGGTGGCCCAGCCTCCCCGCGCCGGCACAGCTCAGTGCCACCACTCTCAGTCTCTCCCACCCTTTGGGACTTAGAAGTCCTCCCATAAACTCCACACTCGGGAACCCTCAGAAAGGCTGTCAGGAAAACTCTCCTTGTTAACTAAGCTCTTCAGGACACAGGTCACTGCATTCCCTGCCACCTAATACAATGCACCAAGTGGAGAGCACTTCCCTTCCTCCCGTCTGCTCTCCTTCCCTCTCGAAAGCCCTCTCCCTCCTACAGAGTTCCTACTGATAAACTTATCAGAACAGCTGACAAATCCACACAGATACACTATTGCTAACAAACCCCACATTCTACATTAGGGTTCATTTCACTGTAAATGCTACTGTCTGGGAGTGTCATAAATACATGACACAGAATCTGCCTCTACCTTTAGAAGTAAATGGGTGACACACTCATTATTAAGCAATTTCCTGAATACTCATCTTACAAAACAAACTCTACAACCATTGAACAATGTATTTTTTCTTAAGCATAATACTAGAAAACAACTATTTTTCAAAATCTGTTTTCACGTAATTTTCTTAATTCTTTTCTAATCTAAAACTTATAATTTATCATATTACTATACCAAATAACCATAAAATGTTGATTTTCATTTTAACATCAAACTATTTATTTACTCAAAATGCTATTTTATATATATATATATATATATATATATATATATATATATATATATATATATATATATATATCCTGTAAGGGGCAGGAATGTAACTAAGAAATTGATTCCTTTAAATCAATTTGACATCCATAATACTATGTATAATCTTACCAAAATGCTGTTACATTTCTAAATACCACAAAACAATAGTCAAACTGAAAAGCTTTACCGAATTTTCACCTGAGGGGCGGAAGGAGACAACTAGAACAAGAAGTGCCTAGCTAACGGGTGTCTCTAACTGTTCGGACTGCAGCGATTTCTTTCTCATCCTGCAAGGGAGGCCTTCTGTAAGGAAATCCAGCCCAGCTGATCATTTTGTACTGTAGAAGTACACAGACATCACACTGTAACCTACTAATTGTATAATTATCTGTTCATTTCAAATGCATTTAAAGAAAAGAGTAAGATCCAGCGTATACTGAACAATCAGTTCATTAGAATTTCATTTTACAAATATTTTGAGCCTCTTTAATCAGTTAAGTCCTGTTCCATCTCTCTTTAGGCTAATTCTCCATTATACACACACATGCATCCCATCTTCTCTAGCTTTCAGTTGCTTCCTTGGTCTAATTTCGAGTCATATAATTGACCTGTTTTTCGACGTGCAATCTAAAGGACAAGGCAAGATTAGCACCAGAGGCCCCACTAGCCTCTTCCAAGGGAAACCATTGACTGGGGTCAGCACAGTGATGAGCACTCCGCAGCAGAGGACCAGGCTCAACCCCTACTGATGTAAGAACAGCAGAACTGAGCCTGGAAGCGCAGGCTCCTAATCTAGCTACTTGGGAGTCTGAGGCAGGAGGACTGAAAGTTCAAGTTCTGCCTGGGCAAAGTGAACTTCAGGCCAGCCTGAGCAGCTTAGTGAGACCATCAAAATGGAAACCTGAGAGAGCAGGGACACGGCTCAGTAGGTCCCACACTATCAGCATGTGGGAGGCTCTGGCTTAATCTCTAGTGTCACAAAAGCAAAAAAACCCCTCAATCTCACTTACTATTTAACTTTCTGTGTATAAGTTTCTCATTTGCAAATTAAGAACAAAAACGTCTAGATTCTGTAACTGTGTATGTGGTACCCAGCAGGTAATAATTTATTGAATGAAAACATAAAACTCTTGGGCATTGCTGAAGCAGTATTTGTGAAAGACTTAGCACACTATCAGGGACACTAAAAGCTCCCATTAAATACTGTCACCACCCAAACTTTCAGTGTGTCTTATTTCTCATACTCCAAAACATTTGTGTTCCATTTTCAAAAGAAGTCTATGGTTATTAATTTAGCCTTACTGTGTCTCCAATGTCTTCTCTTGCACAGAGTCTCGATTTATGTCTACGGTTTGGAGCCCCACCCCTTAGTACTACCTTTCTTTGTCCATCCAGATAACACATCTTTGCTCTTAACTCACAAATCCCAGAAAGCCCTTTCCAATCTCTCTGGCTTTAGTAACCCCCCTCTGCTTGGAACTCTATCTTTATTTACTTGGTATTATCTACTGCGGTCTAAGCTTTTAAAGAACTTTGTCAATTCCATTTCACCTTTTCCTTTCATATCACCTAACTGGCCCCCAAACAAATGGATGCACACTGCATTTAGTCCAAACTGGGTGATCTAAGCTATTGGTAAGATGAGGCGACACAGGGGGAAAGGTGCTCTATGCTGCTAGTGTGCTCCCAGGAAGATCATGAGTGATAATCATTTTCTTTCAGCAATGTTATAACTGTGTTTTTACAGACCCTAAGGTCCTAAGAGCCTTCTTGAGCATATATGAACAAAAGAATGCATAAACAGATGGCAGTAAAATATTAAGGGCTACTTCTTTTCTCTATTTATAATTTTTGTGTTTTAATAATTCAGTGATTCCGTAAGACATCAGAGTGATCCTCTGCTGCACTGTGCCCAGTGTCCCCTAACTAATGTTTACTGCTCAGTGTTTTCCAATAACTGGTATTTTCATAACGTTATGTTCAAAACACAAGACTTTCTATTGCAAAAGTGATACTATCAATGTATTTAAATATATGTAAAACACCAAATATAATTTTAAAATATTCTTACCTAATCCTTTTTGTCCTGGATTCTTTGCAAAATTAAAAGTAAACTGGTAAAAATCCTTAAATCGTCCTGGTTCTTTCAATTCTTGTTCCATCTTGGGTATTTGGGCCTTTAGTTTTTCTATGCTGTCACATCTACATTATAAAATTAAGTTTGTAAACGGTTAACTTTTCACTAGAAATTAAAAAACTTAACTTAATTATTCCTATGAGGGCTTGCATTTGTTTCCTAGAACTTATTTTTTAAAATCAGATATATGGGATTTCATCTTTTTACATATATTAAGAAGACAGTCTCCCCTTAGTCACAGGATGTAAGTCCCTCACTGACCCCTGAAACCTTGGTGAGCATCATGCTCAGAGATATGCAGCTTCTTCTTGCACATACAGCGCTATGATACAAAGTGTAATTTATAAATGAGACAAAGCGAGACATTAATCAGAACTAATCATAAAACAATTACGAGGTAATGAAAATACTATGCATGTATTCTCTATATACTTAGAAGGAATGCCTCTCTGGCACATCCTAACTGCCAGCATCACTGCTCCTACACTGTTGGACCACTGTGAAATAAAGTAGGGTCACCTGAACATAAGTACTAGGACAGCAATCTGGTAACTGAGAAAACCACTAAGTGACTACCAGACAGGCAGGTACAGTGAGGGTTGCTGGACAAAGGGCAGCTCATACTTCAGGCAGGACAGCAGGACAGTTTAAAAATCTTACCACTCTACTCAGAATGATCCCCAACTTAAAACTTAGGGATTTTTTTTTCCTGGAAACTTTCAACTAATAATTTGGGAACAGAGTCAACTATAAGTCACTAAAACTTCAAAAAAGCCACGGATAAAGGGTGACTCTTGTCTAGAGTTAGCTTAATGAAGACAATGGAATGATGAAATGTTAGAATTACTTTTTATATGTATGAACTCACCGAACTCAACACACTGACGTACAGACTCCACTTCTACCTCAGTGACTAGTAAGAACGGACACACTCAGCCCCAGCCACTACTCTCCCTGCGGTGGGCACAGCTAGCACAGCAGTTGGTCACGGTCTAGCTTCCCCACAACCAGAACAAGGCCTCTTGCTAAGGAAGCGTTCTTCTTGAAAACTTGCTTTTACTAAATATTAGCGAAAGCTTGTACTGCCTTCAACTGAATTACCTAAAGTAGGATTAGGATGTTTTTTCTATTTACAAAACTTTCAAAGAGCTAAAAAGGTCCATGTACTTCATTAGTTCCTCATAACATATGGCCTTATGATAGAAATGTCCCATTTCTTAAAGACTCTACAAACAAATCAACCTGCTCTCTCCTCTAAACCTTCTGCTTTTTATCTGCCTTCTCTGTTCTAACATTTCAGGTCATATTTTATGTTGCATTCTCCATAGACCGTGACATTGCTTTTCCCTAAGTTCCAGTGGCATCTGCCACAGAGAAGCCCAGCAGACTCCAGCTGGCTCGGTTTGGCTCAAAGACAGGGTCCAGGCACATTATCGATTTATTCTCTCTTTGTGTTATGCCCACCATTCTCTGCCTGCTTTGTAGTGGTCAGCCACAAACCACTAAACATTATTTTTTTTTTTTTTGCCAGCTTGCCCAATGTCAGGGTCTACTGACAGAGCTAAAAGGCTAGGGGAGGAAGGGAGATTTTTACCCAGGTTGTTGTCAGTACAGGAAAATGGTTTTAGTGTGTGAAAGGTCCCAGCAGCGTCTACCAGTGGGGGCAACTCTTATAGCAACCCACCCGGTCGCTAACCAGTTTTTATTCAGCATTGGAGCAGCTTTTGAGCAGGCAGCAGCCCCTGCAGGCCTTCCTCTCCCCCAGGGACTGAATTCCGGCCTGCCTGGCTGGCTCACTCAATGCAGTCCCAGGGGTGGCGAGAGCGACTGCCACCTCTTTACACCTAAGGGTTTCTTTTACACAGTCTAGTACTTCTTTACACTTTGTGGTCAAAATACTGGTGAGGCTGTATCCTGACTGGGCCCAGTTTTCCTACGTCCCTAAGACTCAGTAAGCAGAGTCCTGCTTGTGTCCTGACTAGAATATCACCTGGTGTTATTACCTGTTATGGTTCAGTAAGTACCTCCCTCACAGAAGTGGTTATGAAGAGGTAGGCAAAGCAGGTATTGGGATGAAGCCATGCTTGGTTAATGTGAACGTGTTTTTGTTTTGTTAGATTTTGGAGACAGGATCTCACACAGTAGCCAAGCTGGCCTTGAGCACCTGTCGCTGAGGATGACATGAACTCCTGCATCTGCCTCCCGAGGGCTGGGAATTCCTGGGCTGCCCACCAGGCCTAGCTTTCAGACTATTTCTGCAGTCCCATCAAACAGAGATTGTCAGCAAGACCTTTACCTATGACTTTTCAAACACATTCAGCTAAACTAGCCAGCAAGGCACTAAGTAGAAGAAAAGCATTTAATACCCTCTAGTTTTTAAATTCTCTATTTTACCAGTTCAAAGTACACTGCCTCAAATTAGGAAACAATTTACTTGCTCATTTCACTTTGCTATAAATATTAATGTCAGGTAATTTGAACATTAGTGACTCTCCTAGGAAGAAATGACTCCAGGACAATGCGGTTAGAGGAGACTACAAAGTTATACGGGCATTTGGCAAACCCGGAAACACCAGGGAGACAATACACTGGCTCAGTACTGTTTCGTGGGCTAGTCAAACTTGAATTTCCTTTAAAACAGACGAAAAATTGAGCCCCATCCTCCTCCTAGCTAGTCCTCATCTCCTACGGGAGTGACATACTCACCCTAATTCTGTCATACCATCCATGAACTCCTGTTTGGAGAACTCACACTGTGTGGCTGCCCTGAACTTCCATGCAATGATCAACACACTAATGCTGGCTGGATCGAGGGCCAGATCGTCACAGAACTGCTGTATACCATCTATTCCAATTTTATTTTCATCCTGAGGATCTTTAAAAATACCAATACAATATAAAATTAGTGCAATACTTATAAGGTTATAGTCATAACAAAAAGATGCTGTTGTATTATTTATTTTAAAACAAATCACAATATACCAAAGACATGACGCAATATTATTTTTATAGCTGTTTCCCCATATAACAACCCAAGTCACTATTAAAGTGTACAGGACAGTGTAAAAGTAGTCAGACATTTCCTGTTTAAAGTCTCACTTATGGAGCCACAGGCTTGGTGCCATACTCCTTTAGTTCCAGTACAAGGGAGGCAGAAACAGGTGGATGTCTGTGAGATTCAGGCTAGCCTGGTCTACATAGTGAGTTCCAGAATATCCAGAGTTACATAATGAGATCTGTCTAAAAACAAAGTAAAACACAAAAAAACCACCTCACTTATTCATGTGAAAAAGTTATACATACAAATAAAATAAGATATACTTAACCAAGGGCAAGGGATTTTGGGTCAACACACCCCTATTTTATTTAATCAGGCATTCAAAATTAACAATATTAAATTAGAAAACTTTTTTCTTAAAATTAATTTTACCACAATCACTTAAGTTCTAGTAAAATTAAATATACAATTCAATCTTAATCTCAACAGTATAAATATCTGATGTTTACAACAGGAAAACTGTGAAGTTTAAAAAAAAAAGATATATACAAAGAGATTGCCCTATACTGCTACCAAATATGATTTGCTAAAAAATCTAAGTATCTGGTAGTGACTCTAACAGATAAATGATGCATATCAGGCTGGGTGTGTAGTAATGGTAGAGCATTTGCCTGGCCTGAATAATGGTAAAGCCCTAGATTTACTCCCAGTATTACTAAAAAAATAAAAAATAAAGCGAGACTTTGGAGAATGAATTATGTATATAATATAATCCCACTTGGGTGAAAATTTGAAAATGCCTCTATACATGCTTGCATAAACAAAAGACAGGAATGTACTCATACTGAACTACTAAATACAGGTTACTCTCAGGAGAATAAGGAACAGCTAAACTATTAACCTTTTCCTCTTTTTTTTTTTTTCTTTTTTCCCCTTTCAGAGATGGTCTTATAATTTAGGCCAGGCTAACCTTGAACTCTCAATCTGACTGCCTCTGCCTCTGAGATACAGGATTGTACCATTATGCTTAGCTTTTCAAGTTTTTTAAAGTATGTGTTACATTACAAAAAGTTATGACACAGACTTTCTTAAAACCCGGCTCAGCGAATTTCACAAACACAAGGTTAGGAAGAATTGCCTCCAATCTTCCATTCTCAAACTACGTGATGGGGATAGGCCAAGAGAGATTAAGCGCCAAGGAGAAACATTTGTAAGGTGTTTCTAGTTCCAGGATCTGCTGTAGCTCTGCTGCACACACTGAACTCCACAGTCTGTGGAGCTGATGTCTCAGAACCAGCCCTTAGCTTGGAAAAACTTTGCTCAACACAGTTAAGTCACCTGGCACTCACCTTTGTATCTATTGTACAGTTGTTCTAACTTCTTCCTGTCCAAGGATCCTTTTACACTCTCCCGGATATAAAGTTCTGGATTTTGAAAAAAGTTATCTGTTGCAACATCTAACTTCCAGTCATTTTGAGAAAGACAACTCACTGCAGTTTTCTCGCTAGATTGTGTGAAGATCATAAACTGACGAACTTTATCCTTCTGCGATGATTTCAACTTGTTCTAGGAGAACCAGAAAACAGACTGAGACTATGCAAAGTCACACACCACGACCCGTGTCACGCAGCTAAGCCACCGCCATTAGAACATGTGCTTCACAAACCATGAAAGCATTTCCACTATGACTTACTTGTGATCGGTCATCAATCAGCAAGACAATTTAAAAGTATCTGAACCACCAAGGGTGGCATCCTCCTGGAAGGGTAGCCAGCGTAGACAGAACAAGAGCACTCAGCCAGCAGTAAACCACCACGGCAAGGAGAACTCACAGGTATTGCTGCAATCCCAATGCCCAGGCCAGCACTCCCTCCTGAGTGTGTGCTCTTTCACCAAAATGGAGGAGGCAATGGCACAGGACAGCCTACATTTCTCCTAGATGGTGTTTAGGAAACATACAATGTTACCAGAACCCCCTCAAATCAGAAGCACCCACCCTACTTAGACACTTCCTTTAGACTGGTCTTTGAATTATATATTTACTTAGTGTGTGTACGTGTGCGCATGTGTGGGGGAGGGTGTGCACACGCATGTGCACATACTTGTGGGCACACACATGTCAAGATGCTGATGTGGAGGGCAGAGGACAGTTTACAGGAGTCACTTCTCCCTTCTCCCATCCATGTCCTAGGGAGAGAACTCAAGCCGTCAGAGCTGGCGGCAGGCAGCACCTTTGCCAGCTGGGCCATCACAGGTCCCTGAGACACTCTTACTAAGAGTCTCCCTTTGTTTCTCTAGAAGGAATCATCTCTTTTTCCGTGCTTGTGCCTAAGAGGCCTCAAGTTTTCCCTTGCCCTACACTGACAAAGATTCACTTCTCTGACTTCAACCCAAAGCAAAATGAGACAGGGCCATCAGGCTATCCACTCTGTCCTGCCATCAAAGACTGTGCTCTCCCCTCCCACTCAAGCTGGGCTCCTGGACAAGGCTCCTGCACTCTTCCTCCTTGCAAGTCCCATTTCTGTTTTCTTGGTAAAATACTTGGGCTCTTCTAATGCTATAATGTAAATAGAGGGTCAGACACATTAAAGAGACAGCATTCTGTCTTTTAAGCAACACAACTAAGACCCCCTGGAGCTCTGTTGTGGCCCAAACTGACAACCTGGAACTCCAACATCTGAACATGGAGAAAACAGAACCGGAGGCTAAGTTCCTGGTTCACCAAACTTGCCCAGCTTATACAGGAAAAATGAGGGAAGAACAGGAGTAGCCTTCAAAATTCAAGTCCTGGTAATTTTCCGGGACCCTTCCTGCTTGATGGATATTTAAAAAGCTTCTGAGAGTCTCGGGGAGACTAGCAAAGATAAAGCATTACCACTGTCACAGAGAGAAACTAAGACTGCAAAATCCAGTAAAAAACAAACCGTCCCTCTCCGAACATGAAACCCAGCGATGCCCAGGAGCCTCATCTATCACTCTCTCCTCTCTCGGCAAATGTTAATGCATGAAGTTACAGATTACAACCTCAACCACTATCCTCCACTGAAAGAGAAATTGTAAAATACACTATCTGCCCTTCAATTATAATCCTACCACCTCTGGATACCACCTCAGTTATAGCCCAGTGGTTCTCAACCTGTGGGTCATGACCCCTTTGCCAAGCCTTTAGCTCTGAAAATATTTACATTACAATTCATAACAGTAGTAAAATTACAGTTATGAAGTAGCAATGAAATAATTTTATGTCTGGGTTCTCCACAGCATGAGAAACTGTGTTAAAGGGTCGCAGCATCAGGAAGGTTGAGAACCACTGCTCTAGCCTATCACATGAGATGCACCTCTTAAAGATCCAGGATTACCCTTATCCTTGAAATGTATTATTCAGTGACAATCCTAATGAAATAACGGAAAAGGAAATAATTTAAATTCCTGAAAGTTAATTAACTTAAAGTAAACAAGAAACCCATTTTTATTTCAACCTTGGAAATTATTCTGAAATATGGCACAGTTTCTCCCCCGAACCACAGGGTATGTGACATATTTATACCTTTAGAGTAGCTGGGTGTCACTGTGGTCATCAGGGCCACTTATGTATAATGTAGAAAGTGAAGCTGGAAACTACTTTTCAATTAACCCTGATAAAACTTCTTACATAGCTCCCCACCACCCCCCACCCCCACTCCCCACCCGCCTGCCTCGCTGCCTAGTCTTCTAAAGTTGGAGGTAGCAAGACAGTCTGGCCTATCTGGGATTTTAATCAAACAGTATTGAGCCCAGTACACTGTCCCTGCTGAAGACAGGAACTCCAAAAGCACAGCTTAAACTACTCTACAATTCGAGAATCACTCACTGCCTGCCTTGGTGACTTCCTGACAGAAAGCTAGAGATTAGAAGACAGAGAGGGGAAAGATAAAAAGACTGTCTTGTCCAGCTAAGCAACAACATTACATGAACTACTTAATTTCATGTCACACCACTTGTTTTTAATACAATAACTATTCCGTCTGGTACAAATGTAACACATTCTTCAAAAGCAATTAGTTACCCATTTTTAACCTCATAAACAACTGGGCAGCACCTGGCGAAGATCGATAGAGGGAGGCAGAGAGCTGAGAGGTCACATGATACCCGTTTCTGCCTGCTCCTGCCATGTCCGATAAGCACCACCACTTCTGCCATGGCTGTCACATTCCTCTCAGTTCTGCACCTAGAGCAAGTTTTAGCACTCACTTTCCTCCGGAAGGATGCATTTTCTTCAGACCACAGGCTCTCCTAGGTAAACTACATCTGCCCTCTGCTCAAGCTGGTTAGAATCCTAATACGCCCACCCTCCTTTCTCAGGCCAGACAGGTGGTATTGGGCAAGGTGTTCCAATCCAAGAGAGCATCAAAAGCTGGCCAACCTCAGGAGAAGGGTCACTAGATTTAGCAGGGCATCATTGAGAAGCAGGAGATAAGAGGATAGATTAAAAAAAAGACTGAAGAGGAAGAAAAGACAGATTTTTCTTTCTTAAATTTGGTTTCTTGAGACAAGGTTTCTCTGTGTAGCTCTGGCTGTCCTGGAACTCGCTCTGTTGACCAGGCTAGCCTTGAACTCACAGAGATATCCACCTGCCTCTGCCTCCTGAGTGCTAGGATTAAAGGCGTGCGCCACAATGCCTGGCTGTAGATTTTCTCTATTTCTATAAAAAAGCTAATGGAGACCATTTTCCATGAGACAGCCTCAAAGACTCAGCAGTCAAATGTGTGCAGTGGATTTCCTTTACTATGTATTGAAAAGGACTAGAGCAGAGTGGCTTGTAAATCGGATAAGCCGTGCAACCATCAATCCTCCCATGTTAGAGTCACTCAGACATTACTGAGTTTTCAAGAAAAGTCAACAGTGGTAAGCAGGAGAAGACATATAATACTCAGGTTGTGTTAGGATTCTTACTTTTATTTTAGAGCAAAAAAAAAAAGATAGAAAGAAAGAAAGAAAGAAAGAAAGAAAGAAAGAAAGAAAGAAAGAAAGAGAGAAAGAAAGAAAGAAAGAAAAGAGGGGGTGGGGGAAGAAAACCCAGAAAAATTCCATAATCTGAACAATAAAACTCATCTATTTTCTTTACAAAATAAAAAAATGCCTAGACTGTGAACACATACCACTTTGTACCTAAATCTTCCCTCCTTTTTTAACTTAATAAACTTAAGACTCACATTAGAAAACAAACAAAAACCAACCTTTCTGGAAAGACGGTGTGGCTCAGTGGTAGAATACACACTGCAAGTTTAATGTCCAGCACCAAAATGAGTAGTTTATCCGAAAAATTCAAATACGGTGTTTGGGATCTAGCCAAGCACATCTTCAAGCATATTTTACCACTGAACTCACAAAACAGTGATTAGATGAACAGATTACAGCAAATGGTAATGATGACAGCCAAGTCTTCCTAGTGTGCCCCCCAAGAAAAACCACGTACATGGAAAATGACCTCCTGGCCAACTAACACCTCAAATTTCAAAACAAAAAGTAACTTCACTGAGAAGTGGTGCTTGTAAAATGAAAATTCCTTCATTAATTTTCACCCACAATGTTCATATTCTTCCCTTTCCCTCAGCCTCAGCCTCAATCTCAACTCTACAAGGACACTCGGGTCCACAGTTTCAAAGAACTTTTTCAAAGTGAGCACCAGTGTTTCGCCTGCAGGCATGCATGCATATCAAGTACCTATAGAAGTTGGATGAGGGAGGGCATCGGATCCTCTGGAACTGGAGTCACAGATGATTGCGTGTTGCCATGTGGATACCTAACCTGGGTCCTCTGTAAGAGCGCTAAGTCTCTTACACTCTGAGCCATCTCTCCAGCTCTGGAATTACTTTTTGAAATGCAATTCTAGTTAGTTGATATCTAGTTCACAAAAGTCAATGTTTCAAAATATCGGAATACCTTAGTGAGGCCAGGTATACAGGTGTAGTGGCACAGAAGGCAGATCTACGAGTTCAGGTCAGTCTGCTCTACACAGCGAGTCCCAGGCTAGCCAGGGCTACTTAGTGAGATTCTGACTCAAAATAAAAACAAAACCACCTTAATGGTCATGTGTCACTTTCATGACAAACTCTATGTATAGCAGGTGTCACTAGGACAGCTCAGCCTGTAGAGGCACTTGCTACCAAACCTGCCGACTCCAGTTCAATCCCCAAGACCCACGTGGGTAGAAAGAATTAACTCCCACAACTTGTTCCAAATCCCAAATGTGTACTTTGGCACATATACACCCCCACACATAAATACATAAATGTAATAGTTTTTAAAAAGCTCTGTGTGGCTAATGTAATTAGGATGTGATGAACATTTTTAAACTCCCATGATATTTATAAGAGCTAGTTTTAGTCTAGCAAGCTATGTTTTCTTATGTAAGACCAAGTCTGTGGCAGACACAGTCCAATGTTACCCATACCCAACCACTCAACGACAAATGGCCTTCCCACAGATCACAGGTCAAAAGTGCAGGAAAAGTCAATTCAGTGAGGTGATCTGCTGGAAAAGAATACTTTCTCCTAGGGGCAAAGTTCTACTCCAGGAAAGTAAGGGTAAACTGCCTATGCCTTTCCTTTGGCTGCAGAGGAACACTGTAACATGGTTTGTCGACACTGAAGAGTCTCCTCTCAGGCCTACCTGGCAAGGGTTCCACTCCACCCATAGAAAACTAATCTCTGCTGCAGTAAACAAAGTTTTACAGTTCTAGGCATTTAACATGAATTAAATTAACCTTAACTGGTATATAGTAAGGAGTCTTATAGGTCCATAAATTAAGGAGGAATAAGCGGGGAGTGAAAAACAAAATTATTTAAATAGTAAATGAAAAATAATGACCATATTTATTTGAGTTACTACTGTGTCAGACCTTATGGTAGCCAATTTTTCTGTTTTTGTTTTGGAGGGCGGGGATCTATGGGGAAGAGATAGGATTGACCTTTGTGGCCACAGGCTAGCCTGAAACTTGACAGTACCACCTCAGCTGCCCAAGCTGAGTTAGAGGCAACAGATCATCCCGATTTACAGAAAACAACTCAGAAAAGGGGTCTCACTGGGCCCATCTTACAGGGAAGGAAAACAAGGGGAGGGCTCAGGGGAGGAGCTACACTCACCCAAAAGAGCAAAGCCAGTACCCAAAGCACGGCGCCTTCCTTCAGAGAGTGCAGTCTTTCCATTTATTCTATGCACAATTTCATGGGCAAATGAGAACAAGGTTACAAAGTGCAGCCACTGATTCAGCACAAAGTGAGGGGAGAGGAGGGCAGCATTCACCTCCTCTAACAGAACTGACTCTTCCCTTCTCAATGCAAATATCAGCATTCAAACTGCAAATGCCCTTTAAACACTGGCTCCTCATCTAGTCCCCAGGCTGACACAGGGACTGGGATGGAACATCTATTTAGGGCTTTGCTGGGGGAGTAAGGGGATAGGTTATTTTTAAGACAAGTAATAAAACAAGATGAAAAGTATATTTATGATTCCATGACAGTCTGTTTTTTAAACAAATGACAGTCTATAGCTTTGACTGAAGAGACAGAAAGACCTACAGCTACTGGAAGTCATGGTTTCCTTTTCCAATGAAAAGACTGGATACAGAAAATATAAACAGACAGGTTATGGCCAGAACTTAAGGGACTGAGTACAATTTCCAATACTAAGCTAAAACAAACAGAGCTCTTAGAGTATTCTTTTACATTCTAAAATATGGTATAGAATAATTACTAAAAAGTTATGAGCTGTGCAGCTTATCATTCATTCTTTAGTTTTCTGCACCATGAATAATAGTTTATATCATCTAAGAGGCAGGTAGTACCCTGCCACTGAACAGAAAGTCAAGAATGCTGTATAGTTACTATGTACAATGATCTAATCAGAAAGTACATCTATACAATTCAAAATGGTTGCAGAGAATATTCTTCACAGGGGTTGTTTGAGCAGTGTCTTACTCACACTGTAGCCCAGGCTGGCCTAGACCTCACCATGTAGCCTTGGCTAGCAATCCTGTCTCATTCTCCCCACTGCCCACCAGAAGCATGCACAATCACACCTGACCCTCAAAGGTTTTTAACAAGTGTTCTACTGATAGACAGTTAAACAAATTTCTCTTCATTATACCTCAGAATTGGGAGGTTAGTCAAAAGATGTCTGTTGTTGAAAATGGAATAAGGTCTTGGTTTTCCACAGAAAGTGTTGGACTACTTAAAAGTTATTTTCACTCATTTCTAGTTAACTATGATAAGAGGACAGAAACAAGTTCCTCCAATTTGACTGTTGTTGGTCACTTTTCCGTTGATCTTCCCTAGCTTACCACTTGAGCATCTAACAAGCAGTCATAATAGGTAACTTTGCTCTTCAAGTTGGTGTAATGATTACTATCCCAGCCACTTGAGAAACTGAAACAGAAAGATCATTTGAGCCCAGGAGCTGGAGACCAGCCTGGGAAATCTCACTTCAAAAATAAATTAAAAAGTAAATAAACAAACAAACAAACAAATAAATAAAATTGCTTTGCCCTTTTCATGAAAATTTTTCTACAAAAAAATTCTAAAAAACAACAACAACAAACCCCCAAAGAACTGTGTATTTTAAAAGTTTCATAGATAACCACAATGGTTAGCATTCAATAGCCAATACATTATTTGTTTCATAAAGATCCTTAAAAAGTGAAATCTAATTTTAAGTTTTCTTATCTACTCAAATCTTAAGCAATACTCTAATAATGCAATAAATACTCTAAATGGGAGATAGGGACTGCTCATGTATCCCATACATAGCTAAGGATGACCTTGAACTTCTGACCCTCTTGTCTAGGCCTCCAGGGTACTAGGATTATCGGCATAAACCACCATGGTCAGTTTATACAGTGGTGGGGTGAAACCCAGGGCTTTATTCAAGCACTCTACCAACATTCCAGCCCCTTAAATGTTTATTAAAATTAAAACATACCAACCTAACAAGGGATGGTTATATATATTTCTGCAACTGATCACTATGCTCAGTAGGGAGGGATTCAAAAGTGTAATTCAATACAATTCTTTAGAAAATTACTATTTGAGTAAATCTCTTAAAATTTTACAATGCAGACCCCCAGTTTAATGCAGACATACATCTAGGCAAAACACCAATGTACATAAAATAAAAATAATAAATCATTTAAAAAATTTTAAATCACAAAAGTAATGAAAGATGGCTTTGGAGGTGCTTTTTCTTGGTTGAGGGGTACGAACCTAAAGTAGTGAAGTAAGTCAATCATTTAGCTACTCAGTAACTTGTTTCTGTCCACAAAGCAATTGAACCCTATTTGGAATTACTCTCTTCATCAACTGTCATGGTTGACTCTGTCATGGCCTGAACACCACATAGTAAGTACTATTTATGTTTGTATTGTTTCCTCCTTTGTCTGCTCGCTTTGAGGTAGGGTCTTACTATAGAGCCCTGATTGTCTCTGAACGCATTATATGTTACCCAGGCTGGCTTTGACTCCCACTTGGGATCCTCCTGCCTCAGCCCCCGGCATGCTGGGATAATAGGCACCACCATATCCAGAACCTTACATCCTGTACTTTAGAGACTTTCTTGGCAGGGATGTAGCATGATGGTAGAGTACTTGGCTACCACGCACAAGCCCCTGAGCTGGTCCTCAGCACCTTAGAGCTGTGTGTGAAAGGGGCTGCTTCAGACTTCCTCTAGGTAGGTTCACACCCACTAAGAGACTGTACTAAAACTACTTGACTCAAGTCCTGGTCTTTTACAAATTAAGGAAAACAAAACTCTCACTCAGTTAATTTTATTTCCAATGTTTTTCACTATACACCAAAGAGTTTTAATTTTCTTTTTTTTTTTTTTTTTTTTTTTGGTGCCGAAACCCGGGATCGAACCAGAGTTTTAATTTTCAATTACATATTTAATGTTTATATCAGACCCTTTGATTTATTATAGAATTTAATATAGAAGCAACTTGGTTGCATTCAATATAAGAAACTAGTCAAACTAGCCAGAGATTCCACACCAGTAGTGAAATGTTGCTTGATTTTTCTTTCTTTCTTTTTTTCAAAGGGGAAAACTGAGGCCTGGAGGAGGTATCACGTAAGAATCAGGACGGTGTCTGTAATCCCTGCTCTTTCCCAAACTAGCTCTTCACCTTGCTCAAATCACCAAGAACCACCAAGACATTTGCCAGCCATGCTGACAGGAGGTGGTAATACTGCCTAGTCCACAAGTGGGAGTAGGAATGCACAGTTAGAAGCTGTAAGATGAGCATGTGCTATGTTCTCAATAAATCTCAATTGCTTCTCTCCTCAAAGGCCCAGTTTTCTGTATATAGTCATTGATGTGCATACAAATCACCAAAACATCCAACTTAAGAAAAACAAATTTTTAAAATTAACCCTGGAACAGCTAGAGGAAAATGTTGTATTAAACATTATATAGTGAAACAGAATTCAAAACTCTGTACACATAAGCTACAGAAGAAAAAACTTTAGCTGAGTAGTGGTGGCCCATGCCTTTAATCCCAGCACTCAGGGAGGCAGAGTCAGGTGGATCTCTATGAGTTCAAGGCCAGCCTGGTCTACAGACTGAGTTCCAGGACAGCCAGAGCTGAAAGAGAGAGAGAAAGCGAAAGAAGAAAGAGAGAGAGAAAGAAGGAAAGAACGAACTTTAATGAGAGTCTTGAATGGAAAGGACTGTCTGAAAATACCATGTTGTAACAGGATACCTGAGACAAAAGAAACACCACCACAGCACTCAGAGTTTAGCAGGGCTTCCTGTCTGCCTCTCTCTCCGAAGCAAAAGTCTGGTATCTTCCCAATGTTCACCAAGACAAAGCCCCAGCTATCACTCCCTCCCACTCCAGCAGCCTTCCGTACACTCATACACTGCTACAGGTCTCGCAAGTTCTTCTCCACCCTATTTCTGCAAGGCTTACTCTCTCAACTCCCAGTTTGTTCAAGTTTTCTCTCCTCCGCGGAGCACAGACACTATTTTGCTATTTTGTATCCCCACTTCCACCACGCCCCCAGTATGTGTCTAACCATCCTCTGTCCTAATAGGGTCTTTCCCCCACCCCAGTAACACTTAATACTTCGTAAATAGTAGCAGGAAAATATAGACAATGTCTACTCTTTGACTTTCCCTAGATTTCTGACTTTCTAGGTTTCTGTCTGATAGATACAGATGTATCTCAAGGCTTAGAACAGCGTGAGGAATATAGCAGATACCTAATGAATGTTAGAAGCACTCAGGCATTGCTTTACTTGCCGCTATACAGAAGATATGCAACACATTCTAAAGAACAATCCAGGACAGATTTACATACTGCATTTTTAGAGCCTGCAAACAGCAAAAAATACAATATACATTTCAAAGTCCTATTTTGAAGCCATTAAAAACAGTAATTAACAATATTAACTACCCATTAATTTTAATTTTGCTACTTAACATTATTTATTGTAATACTTATTTTCCTATTTAATATAATTTAATCTCAAGTGCAATTTTCAGCCATTTTTCTAGATTTCCTTTCTAGTCTTAATTTTACAGACTTATACATGTACCACAAATACTAGGAAATGACAGGCTGGGAGAAAATAGTTACATTTTTGTAACCATCTTACAAACCTGAACCTCAAAACCTTCTTGAGCCTCCATTTCTACTTTTATAAAGCGGAGGGAACAAGTCAGATGACCTCTTAAGACACTATAGGTCTAAAATCTTCTGGTAATTTATAAAAATCAAATAGGCTACACAATCTACATAGATTTTATACATTTAAAAATCATTAGAATCATAAAATTATTAAACTCGGTACAACTTTAGAAGCTAACAAACCCAGTCCTGCCATCTTATTAGGAGAAAACTCAGATGTTTGGAGTACTTCTTAAAATACACATGCCTATCAGGCATGAAGCCCTGCCTAGGTTTGATCCCCAGCCCGGGTTATTTTTGGTCTCTCTGTGAGTGTGAAAGACAGGTAACTGGATTTTTTTCTTATAGAAATATTTCAGATATTCTGTCATTTATGTCTTTCCTAAAACTGACAATAATTCATGTTGTAGAAAATAGTCATGGTGCACCTACCAGGAACAAAACAAACAAAAACTCCTAACAGCCTACAACTGTACTAAGAAAAAAAACCTACAAATTTATAATGAAATAAACTTACTGTAAGATTTTTATGGGCCTATGTTGACTTTCTAAACTAACAAGACCATACCAAGACAGTCCTAGTGACATAAAATGAGTTAAGGCATAGAAAGTGCTTTAAGTTAAGGGCATCTTGTCACAACCAGTACGATTGCATGACTTGTGGCTAAGTTCCAAAACGAGCTAATTTAATATTAACCAAAGGGACAGAAGGCTACAAGCCCAAACCCAAAGTGAGCTCTCATCTAAACAGCATGAATCCTACATTCCCGAAGAGCATTGGCAGGCACTGGATTCTAGGAGACTCTGATGTGGGCTGTTGGAAGCTGCATACACACACCGCGACGATAAATGTTCATCGGAGACCCGCACTTCATTAACTCAGCCTGCTACAAGCACCTCAGTAAGAGGGTGGAAACTCTTAGGGGTTCAGGGGTAATGTCCAAGGCCTGTCCAAGAAGAAACTGCAGACTCTCTGTTGGGTCTTTGAATTTACACTGTACTCTCAATCCAAACACTAACCTGTACTTTACAGGAAAGCTTTCTTACAAATATAAAGTTTTAAGAACTTAGCACAGAAGAGAAATCTTTAATATGTGGGACCAAACCACATGATCCACACATGAGACCAAAGCAGCTGGGGGCTGGGGCCACTTAAGTGTCACTGAGAGAAAAACAACCCCCCACAACTGAAGACTGGAGCACACACCCTCCTCCCCAAAGAGGCCCTTCTGCTCTCCGGAGCGACAGGACCCTATCACTTCTACTATTCACCCAGCAGCCTGCCTGGAACTCCAACAAGGTGTGACTGTATACTTCCAAACTGAAAAACAGTGTCCGGCAGCGCCAGGTACTTAATGACAAAGGAGTCAGCTCACTACAGCGTCCTCCAGCTTCCGTGACTTTTTCTCACCCAAACAAAAACCAGGAGAGGAGCAACTTGACAAACTGTCTTTTAAGAACCACAAATGGTCCCTAACTGCTATAATAAAGCAATTACTCCTCCCACCCCAAGCAAACAGAGCAGGCGCTCGGAAGGCAGCAGGTCTCGGGTCCCCCGGCTGCACTTCCGTCCGCAGCCCGGAGCCTCCCAGTCCTCTCGCTGGGACCGAGCCTCTGCCGAGCCGCCCCAACTCCTGGGCGCCCGGCGCCAGCGCGGACTGGGAAGGCCGACGCCGGCTCGCCGGGGCCGCCAGCACCGAGGGGCCCGGCCGGGACCAGGCAGCGCCGGGCCCGCTGTCCGGGCGCCGCCCGGCCGCACAATGGGGCGCGGGCCGTCCCCCAACGCCTCCGCGCCGGGCGCCCGGCCCCGCTCCGGCGACTAGGCCCCGCCGCGCTCCGCTGCCCGGCCCTCGCGTAGCGGCGGCGCCGGGAAGGGACGGGCCGAGGCGGGCGCCGGCCGAGCAGGGGTAGCGGAGCGCGGCCGGGCTGGGGGCCCGAGCCGGGCGGCACGGCGCCGCGGTGCCTCACCATGTTGGTGTCCTCCGGACCTCTCCCCTCCTCCTCCGGCTCCGCAGCGAATGGACGGCGGCGGCGGCGGCGGCGCCTCTCACGGGCTCGCCGGGCTCCCGCTCATGCGCAGTGCGGCGGCCCGCGGAGCGGCCGGGCCGCGGGAGGCGGAGGGCGCGGGCCCCGGGGTGGGCGGCCTGGCCTGCGGGCATCCGTGGCGCGAACAGCCGGGCGACCCGGCCGCCGGGGCTGAGGCCATGCGCCGAGCCCCGCACGGCGGGCGACTGCGAGCACGAGCGGGGCGCCGGCCGGCGCGTCGGCACGCGGGGCGGCGGGGCCCTGTCTGCGCCCCCACTCAGGGCGCCCCGATCACGGCCGCGTCCTGTCCGCCGTGCGCTCCTAATAGCTCCACGGCGGAGTTCCCGGGTAAGTTTGGGGAAGAATCCGGGAGACTATGGCACCTAGAGTCACTGCCATGGTGGACTGTCCAAGCTCGACCTAGCCGGGCTTCCGAGCTGCGGTCCTGAGGACGCTTGTGTGCTGCAAGGAGAAGGAAAGACAGTGCTCCCTGCAGAGGAAGGAAATAAAACAGCAAGTTCGGCGCTTTAAAAAGCCGTCCAAGATTGCCCATGTTTGTGTGTATCACCCAACAGTACCATCCGCATCTTCATCACCAATGTGGGGCTCCCTTCAACACAGACACCAGATCAGCCCTGGAAGTTAGTTTCTACTAAGATTACTGTAACTCCCTGAGGCCTCCTACTACTGCTTAGAACTAGCCACGTGTTGGGAGCTCCCAGAGCCCTTCAGAGGCAGATCTTTGGTGCTACAGACCTGTCACTCATTCTTTCCAACATCAGCATGTGTACGCTGATGTGGCTAACTTCTTGCGAGGCCCTAAGAAAATAACGTGTAGCAAGTGTGAAACTGGGTCACACCTGTGGATATTCTCTAGGAACTCAACCTAGCAACCTAAAATATTAACGAAGAAGACTGTCTCTTGCTGCACTCCATCAGACGTTATTGCAGCGGTAGCTTGTAGGTTTTCTTAAAGCTCTTTCCAAAGTGCCAGTTCCAAGGGACGATTCTTAGCGACACTTGACCTCTTTCTCTCCTGCATTTAAACACTTCCTCCTGGAATTTCCATCATTTTCCATGACTCGATTTCCTTCTAGTCTCCCCTCCTCTGACCATACTTCTTTGCTAGCTAAACTCTTTGGCTTTTCAGTGATGGGCTTTCCAGAACCAAGCCCGAATCTCTTCATTATTGTACTTCCTAGACTCCTGTTCATATCCCCAATGAGTCCAAAATCTTTACTGACGCTCTGCATGGTGTCCTAAACACTAATTCTACTCATTCCACAGACCCCCAAAAGCAAAAAAACCTACCCCAAACCTCCTTTCCCCCCTGCTTTTTCATCATGCAAGCTAATTATCAGAACCACCCACAATGGCTCAACCTCATTTCCCTTAGTCTAAGCTTGCCAATTTTATCACCTAAACAACCTGCCTTCTACTTCTGTCCCTTAGCCATTATCTCTCATCAGTTGTTTCCTCCAGCCCCTTTTGAGATGGTGGTGTCTGACCATGTAGCTCAGGTTGAGCTGCCTAGGATATGTGTCCCCCATCCCATCTTCTCTATACTTTTCCTTCTGTCCCAGAGTTGTCTGTCTGCAATGCAGACCAGAATCTCTTCCTCAGCAATCTCCAAGAACTATCCTAACGGGAGCCTCTCTGGAGTCATAGCGGGTTTTCTCCAAGAACTATCCTAACGGGAGCCTCTCTGGAGTCCGCAGGTTTTCTCCAAGAACTATCCTAACGGGAGCCTCTCTGGAGTCCGCAGGTTTTCTCCAAGAACTAACCTAACGGGAGCCTCTCTGGAGTCCGCAGGTTTTCTCCAAGAACTATCCTAATGGGAGCCTCTCTGGAGTCATAGCGGGTTTTCTCCAAGAACTATCCTAACGGGAGCCTCTCTGGAGTCATAGCGGGTTTTCTCCAAGAACTATCCTAATGGGAGCCTCTCTGGAGTCATAGCGGGTTTTCTCCAAGAACTATCCTAACGGGAGCCTCTCTGGAGTCGGCAGGTTTTCTCCAAGAACTATCCTAACGGGAGCCTCTCTGGAGTCCGCGGGTTTTCTCCACTTGTCTTTCCACTGCCTTTGTCATAGCCCTCCACACAAATGCAGCTCAGATTTCAGTGTTTGCCTGCTAAGCATGATATACTTCATATTTCCTGGCTTGGTCTTATTTTGTCCCTGGCACACTAGCCAACATGAGTGAGGGTTCCCTGTGTATCGTACTGTCTAAGCCCATGAGACTCATGCAAAACTTTAGGTCTAAACTATGCCCATTTGTAGGGAGCACTGAAGCACAGAGTGGGTAAGTAATATGCCTAAGGTTACACAGCAAATAATAGAGTTATGACTTAAACTCAGACAATCCACTTATAATGTGTTCTCTTAACTACTGCAGTTTGTTACTTACTCTGGACTTCCACAATTGGGACATCTTGTTTTACATTTCTATGACCCCTACTGTATACTGTTAGATTTAAGACATCATCTGATAATCTTTTGCCTCTGGCCAGGGCAAAGACCTGATCATGTACATCTTTGAGGTAATTTTGTTTGTTTTGTTTGTATGTGGGGTCAGTGATGCATGGCATTTGTCTGGAGGTCAGAGGACAACCTCAGGTGTCATGCACCTTCAATGTTGTTTAAAGTGAGGTTCCTGTTGTTTTCTACCTCATATTGCCAGACTGTCTGACCCTTGAACTCTGGGGATTCTCCAGTGTCCACCTTTCATCTCCCTGTAGAGTTAGAGGGATTACAGACACATGAACTATGTGCCCTACTTTTCCATACCTTCTGGGAGTTTGAACTCAAGTCCTCATGCTTATTGAGGCAAGGGTTTTACCCTATCTTTGAGTTTTTAGTGTTGGGTGAAAAGCTGACCCCCCCCCTCACACACACACACACACACACACACACACACACACACACACACACACATACTCACACGAGGTGGGGGGTGTAGCAGTTGGATAAATTAAAGGAAAATAATCAGATAGCTCTCTGTGGGTCTTAAGACTGCATAGGATTGTGGGTATACAGCTCAGTGGTAGAATGTTTGCCCTGCACTTAAAAAACTCACAAAAAACACTTACAGCAATAACTGGACCAGGTGTGGTGGCACATGCTTTTAATTCCAGTACTTGTTAGGCAGATGCAAGTGGAGGCCAGGCCAGTCTACATAGCAAGTTCCTGCTCAGCCAGGGCTACACAGTGAGAGGCTGTCTCAAAAGAGGTTATAATAATGTGTCCATACTATTTGTTCCTGTCATAAGATATTCACGCTCCTTGGCAGATGCATATTATACACATATTCATATGGTAAATGCAATAGCAATGGTACCCATCACTACATTTCCAGGTTACAGAACTGAATGTGAAATGGAGAATATTAATCATTATTATTGTGTGAGATAAGCATATTTGTGAAACTTGTTCTGGTTATTTTTTTAAATGGCAGGTTCTTGGAGATAAAGCATAAATTACAGTATTTGATTAACAAAAGGTATTCATTAATATGTTGTTTCAAATGCTTTAGTTTTTTTTTCAGATACAGAAATGTGTGTGTGTGTGTGTGTGTGTGTGTGTGTGTGTGTAGTATGTTTGCGGATGTGCACATACCTTTGCACACATGTGGAGGCCACTGAGGAGATCAGATGACCTGCTGTATCACTCTATGCCTCACTCTGCCTCACTCTTTTGAGGCAGGGTCTCTTAATGAACCTGGAGCTAGGCTAGCTTCCAGCAACCTCCAGTGATCCTCCTATCTCAGCTCACCCCCACCCCAGCAGTGGGGTTACAGGCTGGCATGCCTTTGTATGTGGATGCTAGAATATGAACTCAGGTCCTTGTGTTTAAGTAGCAGGCTCCCTTACCTACTGAGCTATCTCTCTGGCCCCTCAAATACATAATTTTAAAAACTACTTCTATAGCAGGAATTTTGGCTCAGTAAAAAGAGATAAGATGAAAACATCTAGCTGAAATCTAACCTTGTGTACATGCATATACACACATTCTTTGTACACCCATAGCTATAATAACATAGTATTTGTAGAAAGGTGACATTCCAAGGTAAACCAATTTGGAAAATGTTGGTGCAAAAGCTTATATTTTTCATGTTAAGGTAAATATTCACTGATAAAAATCATTGCAACTCTGTTTAGAGAAACATGTAAAACCAAAGAGTCTATAATTCTAGAATCTGTGATTGGCAGAAAGAAAAGAACTCTGAAAAGACAGATTGCTAGCATTTCTGATAGTTCATTTAGCTAAAATGAAACCTACAGGCTAGTTCTGTAAGTCCATCTTCAGTTCCGAGGCACAAGTCTGAGATATGTAGCCACCAGCCTCTCACTCATAACTTAGATGGGTGCCATTTAGTCCTGTGTTTACATAAAATGTGCTTATTGAGCCCAGGCTTACTTATTTAATGTGTAATGACTTTGTTACACCATATTTTAGCCTGAGTAAAGTAACATGCAGAGCTTATTGATGTAGAATTATAGCATGTTTGTGTCTGTGTGTGCTGGAAATTGAACTCAAGGCCTTATACATGCTCACCCCTGTGCCTCTGTACTGTACCCTCAGCCTCCAAAATATAACTTTTAAGGGCTTTTTAAGGATTAGGCCTTATGGCCCACAGGAAATCTATGGGGACCACGGGCCCCAATTCACACCAAAATTATGAGAGAGTGCTTAGAAATAAAAGCCTTTGCTGTCCCCTGCCCCAGTAAACGTTACCAGTGAAGCTGAAGGAATGACTGCCTGGGACTCTTTCCTCCACATTCTGAACCATTCGAAGAGGAATCCTTAATCAGGACAAAGGGAAAACCTCAGGGAATTCGGCATCATTATCCACTTCACAACAAACACGTAATACTGCGGTAGGTCACCTTCTAAATAGAAAAGAGGAATATTCACCAGAGCCAGCCTGTCACCTCAAGGTCCATGTGGATCTGCTGATTTGAGCTGTTTCACACGCATGGTAGAGGAATGGGCTTGGAGCAAGTAACAGCGTGGACTGGGTGGGTCAGCAATAGGAAATTCAGAGACCATCACTGCTGATGTCACAATGTCCCACTGTCCCAGAGTGCACCTACCTCTCCTCCCAAGTAGGCTCAGCCCTTCCTAGATGTGATCCCTCTGCTCAGGTACTCATCCTGAACAACTCTTCAGTTTCAGTGAATGAATTAACGGGGAGAACACGGCCTCCGACATGAGTCCACAGAGCACCGCTGATGGCCCCTGACTTTTCAGATTCCTTCTTCAGGCATCTTCTACCAGAGACACAGATGGATCCTGCACTGAATTCTTAGCGCTGCCCTGTCTTTATCAAATGGACAGAATGTGGGGTATAAAGCTGCCTTTCTAGGGCTTGGGAGTCTCAAGTACAAGTAAAAATATTGTGTCGATTTGTAATAAAATTCACAAAAATCCTGTTTGATTCGTTGCCAGTGAACTGTCCTCAAGTCAGGGAGATCGCCAGGTTTGCACACCTGTAACCCCAGCATGGGGAGACTGAGGCAGATGGGTCTCGAGTTCCAGGCCAGCATGAGCCACACCGTTGAGACCCCATCTCACAGAACGAAAGAAAGAAAAAATTCAAGGAAATATAATCATTCTCACCTTTCACTCTTGAGTGTGTGACGTTCACAGGCCACTACTGCCTGCTGACTAATGCCACGGTGTAGGCAAATGGGAAACTTTTAAATTTTCTCATAGTGACATTTAAAGGTTTTTTTGGTTGATTGCTTGGTTGGCTTTTGTTTTGTTTTGTTTCTTGGTTTTTCCAGATAAGATATCTCTGTGTTGCAGTTCTGGCTGTCCTGGAACTCCTTTGTAGATCAGTCTGGCCTTGAACTTGCAGAGATTTGCCTGCCTGTGCCTCCTAGGTGCTAGGATTAAGATATGCACCACCACCACCACCTGGCAACATTTACATTTTTTTAAAGACATCATCTATTATTTAACACCTCATTTAACCCAAATACATATTCAATGTGAAGTATTACTGAGATGTTTTATATTCTGTTTTCTAGGTAGGATTTGTGTTAGGTGAGTATACATGCCTTCAGTGCATCCTGATTCAAACAACTGCCTTTTCAGCCCAGTTGCTGTTTGTGGGAGCAGCCCTTACTTTGGGCAGCTCAGGCCTGGGCAGTAGTTGGCCTGAAACAGATACTGAAACAATCATGGGAGGTTAGTATTCTTTCAAAATTATTATTATTGAGTTTTTAAATTTTTATTTTATATGTACGGATGTTTGCCTTCAAATATGTTGGTGTACCATGTGCATGTAGTACCCGTAGAGGTTAGCAATAGGTGCTGAATCTCCTGGGACTGGAGTTAACAGACGGTTGTTAGCTATCAAGAGGGTGCTGGGAACTGAACCCAGGTTCTCGGAAGAGCAGCCAGTGCTCTTAATCACTGAGCCATCTCTCCAGCCCCAAAGTTCTTAACCTTCAGAAAATAAGCAGAAATCAAAGTAAACCTGGAATATTTGTGTATAGCCAATAGAAAGCACAGAAATTTAGCACTTGGAAAGTTAAGGTAGTTCAATTGGAGCAAACTTTGGACAAGAGAGAAATAAAATATAATCTTAGAAATAAACATCTCAGAGCTAGAGGTGTAGCTCAGGTAGTGAATGCTTGCCTACCATTGCACAAAGCTCTGGTTCATTCCCCCAACAACCATAAACCAGGTATGGTGGCATACCTTCTAATACCAGCACTCAGGTAGAGGCAAAAGAGTCAGATGTTTATCATCGCTGGCTGTATGCTTAGTCTAGGACAGCCTGGGCTACAGGAAAGTCTGTCTCAAATGTGTTTGTGTGCATGAATCTATATGTCGACCTTGAATATATGTTTTTAATATGTATAGCAATTTAGGAAAACCGCATAAACTAAACTTATTTTGAGGTATTGAGAACTGAACCTCAGGTCTGTGTGTACCAAACAAGCAAGCCCTCTACATGGAGCTACATTCCCAGCCCTCTTTTTACATTTTAATTTTGAGCGAGCCTCCCTGTTACTGAGTCTGACCTTGAACCCCTAATTGGCTCCATCACAGTAGGTAATAATTTCAAAGAAATTTAAGATGAATGAGAAGAGTTTTGAGAAAAAATTTTCTTTGCAAATATTAGAAAGCTGAGCAAATATAAATATCAGAGTCAGGTTAGCCTAAATGAATGGGAATAACAAAAATAACAAAATGCTTATATTATAAGGTGATCATCTTGAGGACATGTCTATACGGAAAGAAGGACTGTTAATGGAGAAGTCGAAAGGCAAAGTCCGACTGTCTTGATGTAGTGTGAAAGACTAGGGAGAAGCTCTTAGGACAGCGGAGCAAGGAAATGAGTGGGCTGAATTCCTTATGGGTGAAATGCGATGCAGCAGCTTTGAACTGACCTGCAGCGAGGTGAGTAAAGGCTGTGGCCGCAGCTTCCTAGGATGGCCCCAAACGTGAATTTTAGAGGATTTGGTGTTTGGAGGTCGTCTTCGCTTTTGTTTTCTGAACTGCTGTAAAAGAGGTCCCATGGCTTTTTTGCTAACCTTGACCACAGATGGGATGGGTTGGGGTGGGTGTTGAGTGGGGAGGAAAGGAGGCCTGTGGCTGGGCAGGCCTGGTGAGCTCTGGGGTGTGGGGGATGACAGCACAACCAGCAGGTCAGGCCTAGCTGGAAGGAGCAGCCAGTGGGAGGGGTTGAGAGAGAGAGATTATATTTATTCTTCATCCATAGGACTCAGCTTGCAGAGTAAGACCATAGCTGTGAAGTAGGAGAATGCTATGCTTGTCTATGCAACTGTGCTGGGCTGCATACCTGAGTGAATTTTATTCCTCACATCTCAGGCTCTTAGTTTATTAGCACCAAGCAAGGAGTTAAGTTGGCTGATTTGGGGTCTGAGAGAGGCCTTGGTTTATTTCAGGTAGGGGGTGATCTTCAGAACTAATAAACAGCTTTGATAGGTATAAAGTCAGTGATTAGAATTTTCCACAGTGCCTCTGATATCTTAAGTTCAGATCCCTTAGTTTTTTTGGTCTTTTTTACTTTTTTTTTTTTAAACAACTTACAAACTGTTGTATGGCATCAGCTTTGCCACTTCTGAACTAAAGTCTGAGGGTTACAAGAAATAGTCATGGGTGGAAAACATGTTCTACTTTATCACTGTATGACTGGGCAAATGCCACCTTCCTTCTTTGAGGCTCAGTTCTCTTGACTGGTAGCAAAAGTTTGTATTAAATAAAAACTTAATTTCCTTCTGTGTCAAAGTTTTGGAAGTATAGTTGTTTTCAGTACATACAGAATACCCGTGTGTCACTACACTTTAGAATGCTAGAAATACAAAATAGAAACCAATCACACAGTTCTGGCAGGCCTTCCCAAACTACTCCACCAGGAGTTCTGTGTCAAGCCATATGGAATCTGTGAGAGGTAAGGTCTCTGAGAAAACTATGCAAGTGCTGGGGCAGGGAGTACCCAGCACTCAGAGGGCTAGTTTGGCAACAGGAGAGGCTAGCCTGAGTTACCTGAATTTGTGTTTAAACCAACTGGTCATTATACTGTAGAGATGATAATGGTCTATTTCCTAACCTCTCTGGGCCCCCAGGATCTTTATCTGTAAAGATAAAGATCCTCATACCCTTTTGTGAAGCGTAAAGGAGACAGTACACGTAGCACAAAATGACAAGGAGTGGCTGCTCATTCTAGAAGAGGTGACATGTGAATTGAGGTTTGAAAAATGAACAGCAGTGCATATCAAACTGAGATGATTTTTGTTTTGTTTTCAAAAACTGAAAGTAACTTAATGAATTACATATGAGATCAATTAATCTGGAAAGAAGCAGTTCCTTTCCATTGCATTATACTTTTATAGCACTGCACTTCACAAACTAAACGATAACCCAGATCAGTCATGATCATAACAAGTGTTGTGAATACATGATGAAAGCAACATTGACTAGACAGTCTGATCTCTTGAAACACCAGGTTGACACATAGATTCTTCTGACAGCTGATTGGCTCTTGACATCTAGAGACACTAAACAGCAGAGTTATGTTGGTTGTTCATAAATATCTGTGTACCATTATTACACATCTCCCCCAAATCTCGGGAGAATGTGATCTCAAGATAAGAAACTGTGGTGACAATGGCCAGTGACAACTCAGGAAGTTTTTTAAACACTCCATGATATGGAAGAAAAGTAGGAGGCAGCACACGCCTCTCCTGTCTAGTCAATGGAGCTGATGCTGAGGTACATAAGTCCTGGCAAATCATCTGCCTCTGCTCTTGTCTGCAACAGGACAGTTTAAGACTCTGGACGTGTTGCACCAATTAGATGGTGGTCAGACTAGTGACTGAGATCTTGCTTATTCCTTAATGGTAACTTGGGAGTTGGCTGAGACTAGAGTTCAGTCATACAGGGCACTCTAGCATGCTAGGTTCAATCCAAGCACCAGATGATGGTGATGATGATGATAATGATGATGATATGATGGTTTGACTCACAGAAACTGAAACATTACAATTTATAAATTATAACAATGAAAATTCCACTTACATGTCTGTGGAAGCATGCTGCCATTCTATGAGCCAAGATTCTGACTCCAAAATGAAAAGACAAATCATGAAATAAAACTGAAAACTAACATTCCTTTTAAATATACATGCAAAAAATACTTCAAAAGTATTAGAAGGCTGGGCATGATGATACATTCTTGAACTCTAGTACTTGGAAGGTTCAGACAGGAGAATCACAAGTTCCAGACCAGCCAAGGGATATAGTAAGATCCTCTGGGAAATAGCAAGCAGCTTGGAGGGTAGCTACTGGTGATAGACATTTAGGCCTTAAACTGAATGCCCAGCACTCACAAAAAATTGGCTTATTGAACCAAATACTATACAAAAATATTTACACAGTATGACCAAGTACCCAGAAATTCAATTTGATTTTATCATTGAAAATCAACTAAAGTCGTGTATGATTTTAACAGAATCAAAGACAAAAACCTCATAATCATGCAGAAATAGCATTTAATAAAATCCAACACTCATTCATGGTATCTGTATTGGTCAGAGTTCTCTAGAGGAATAGAACTGATGGAAAGAATATTTATATGGGAATATGTTAAAAAGAAATTTATTAGGGTGGCTTATAGGCTATGGGTTAGCTAGTCTGGCCGTCTCCTTTCTGTCGAAAGGCCAAGGATCTAGTGGTTGATGGGTTCAGGAGATTGGATGTCTCAGCTCAGTCTGTGTTGAAATCCTGACAAAGTGTGTTCGAACAGCAACAAAGTAACGCCTTGGCCACAAGAAAGAGGAATTTGCCAGTAAGAGTGAGGGCCAACAGGCAAAAAGCAAAAGCTTCCTTCTTCCATGTCTTTCTGTATAGGCTGCCTGCAGAAGGTGTGGCAGATTTAGGGTGGGTCTTCTCACCTCAAATTATCCAATCAAGAAAATTTTTTCAGAAGCATTTCTAGCTGCTTGTGTTTTGATTGAATGCAAATGAAGTCAAGCTGAAAACCAAACTTGGCCATCACAAGTCCACCCCTTGTCAGTTTGTCATACTTCATTATGTCATGCCTAATTTACAAATGGAAACAATAACCAGGTCATAATTACATCTAACATGATGTAACTCCCATGAACACCCACGAAGTATCCCATGTATATCTGAGAGTAAATTATATATTTTAGAATAGGTGGCAATGTCACTTGAGGGACATTCTTTGAGTGTCTCATAACTTAAACATAACAGCCATTGATATTATATGAATTGTTACATTACATTATAAAGAAACAGGAAAGAAAAAACAAATATATGGTGTGTGTGTGTGTGTGTGTGTGTGTGTGTGTGTGTGTGTGTGTGTGTAATATACTTCACCAGGTCTTGGATCTTAGAAGAGTGACCCATACCTTCATTCCTTTAGGGTCTGAGTTCTCTGTCAGCTAACTTGGATTGCATTGTTGCAGTTTCCCATTGACTTTAATCTCAGGATATTGTAACACCAAGGTAGACTCCCTAATGGACCTCCTTCATTCTGGACATAATCTTACCTTCTTTGTGGAGAAGCAATCCAGTTTCCCCGTGGTAGTCTGGATCAATCACCCCACCTTAACAATGATATTCCCTTTTTAGCCTGTTGGTTTAAGGGCATCAGAAGCCCAAAGTGACCAGGGGGAAGTCTGAGCTTCCAGTTCAATGGAATATTTATTGTGTCTCCTGGCAGGAGTGCTCACCCATCTGGAACTAAACTTCCAGGCCATCCAAACTTCAGGCCATAGAAACAAGGAGCAAAAATTTTCCTAATGGGTCACTGGAGGTGATAGTGAGTGGAATGATTCCCATTTCCACCCCTGGAGTACTGGATCCTGTGAATCCTGACTAGAAGGGAAACTATACTGAATATTGGATGTTGATTCAAAGCATATACATCTTTCTTGAGAACCCTGACACAGCCCTCCCACATGCAGGCTACTGCCACCTAAACGGTACTGTAACTGTGTCTTCAAAAAGTCATCCCACTGTTGTATCAAGCTGTCTGCTTCAGGATGGTGGGGGACTCTGGCTGTGAAGTGAGTTCCTTGGTCAGAAGCAATGTTGTGTGAAACACCATGACGGTGGACAAAAAAATTCTCCAAGTCCACAGATGGTGGTTTTGGCAGAAGCATTACTTGCAGTAAAGGCAAATCCACAACCAGAATAAGTATCTACTCCAATAAAGACAAAGTGTTGTCCTTTCCACAGAGGAAGTGATCCAATGTAGTCAACCTACAACCAGGTTGCTGGCTGGTCACCCCAGAAATGGTACCATATCTAGGGCTCAGTGTTGGTCTCTGGTGTTGGCAGATCTGGCACTCAGCAGCAGCTGTAGCCAGGTCAGTCTTGGTGAGTGGAAGTCTACGTTGTTGAGTCCATGCACAGTTCCCATCTCTGCCACCATGGCCACTTTGTTCATGCCCCACTGGGCAATGACAGGGATGGCTGGGGAAAGAGGCTGACTGTCCATAGAAGGGGTCATCCTATCCACTTGATTACTGAACTCAACTGAAGTCACCTTTTGATGAGCATTTAAATGAAACACACTTATCTTCACATCCTTTGCCCATTTAGAGAGATCTATGTGCTGCTTTCCCAGATGTCTTTCTCACAGTTCTCCATTCATGCTCTTTCCAAGTCACTGGCCATCCACCCAGCCAGTCCATTGACTACAACCCATGAATCAGTAAACAATCGCACATCTGGCCATTTCCCCTTCCAAGAGGAATGTATGACTGCGTATACTGCCTGAAGTTCTGCCCACTGTGGAGGTTTCTCTTCACTGGTGTCTTTTAGGGTTGTCCCAGAAATGGTTTGTAATAGTGCAGCTGTCCACCTCTGAATGGTGCCAGCATAGAATGCAGAACCATCAGTAAAGCAGACCCTAGCCTTTTTCCCCTCAGTCAACTGACCATAGGCCACATCCCCTGAAGCTATAGATGCATACTTGGGAGCAGAAGGCATTGTAACAGGAGTAGAACCCATAGGTGTCGGAACTAGTCCAAGAATATAATTCCTGAGTGCTTTGAGAAAACTCCAAGAAAACAAGAGAGTCTTGTGATCTCAGTTTCTTTAAAAACACGGAATTGTTCTTGTATTATGCTTTCAAGCCCCTCCAAGGTGTAGCAGATAGGAGTGAGTTTACTTCAGATTATTCATTACAATTGGCTATTGTTATTTGTTTACATGCCTCTATGGAAAGTCATGTTTTTGATGCATGCAGGTTATCCACACCACATGCGGCTTGCCCTTGTGAGTGTACATTTTACTCTTTACCCTTAAAGTATAAATCGGTTGATGTTCTGAATAAAGTTGGCTATTGTATGAGACTTTAGTCTGCCTCATTTCTTGGTTCCATTCTTCCAGGCCCCACTGTAGCTAGAGTTTTTCTCTCCAGGTCCTGCCAAGTCCCGGCGGTCCAGTAGCCCACTTATAAAATAAACATACTGACGCTTATATTATTTAAACTGCTCGGCCATTAGCTCAGGCCTACCATTGTCTAGCTCTTACTTTTGTACTCAGCCCATGGGCCAGACAGAACCAGAAAAACTCTAGCTACACCCCACCACCTCTAGAGTGTTAAACAGTAGGCATTTGGGTAATAGATTCATGTTACTTTCTTGTGCCCTCAAGATCACATATATACCACTTCAGTTTAATAATGGGTTTCTGATGTGTATATCCCACTTTATGATTGGTGGGTCAGATAATACCCAGCTCAGGTTGCTTAATAACTTGGTGGCCCATTGGCAAACATTCAGTTTATGCTAAGGCCCAAGAGCTGTCTCTCAAAGGGGGAATAGTTGTCTCCAGATGATGATAGAGCCTTATTCCAAATCCCAAAGGTCTCTTCTGTGATTCACCTATGGGGTCCTGCTAAAAGCTCCAAATAGCATCCCTATCTGCCACTGATAACTCAAGTACCACTGGATCTGCTCGTCCAAGTGATCACAGCAGGCTGGACCTGTTGAAGAACCTTCTGTTCCAGGCCCCACACAAAGCTAGCAACTTTGAGTCATTTGGTTTACGGGCCAGAGTAACACATCCAAATGGGGAATGTGCTGTCTCCAGTATCCAAATAGACCTAACTGTGGTGTCTTTCTTGGTAGTAGGAGGGGCCAAATACAATAACTTATCCTTCACCTTAGAAGGAATATCTCTGCATGCACCACACCACTGGACTAAGAATTTCACTGAGGTTGAAGGATCTTGAATTATGGTTGGATTATTTCCCATCCTCTGATTCTCATATGTGTTACCAACAAGTCCAAAGTGCTTACTACCTCCTGCTCACTTGGTCTAATCAGCATAATGTCATCAGTATAGTGGACCAGTGTGATATTTTGTGGAAGAGACAGAGACCATAACTATCTCCAAGCTATGTTATGGCACAGGGCTGGAAAGTTATTATACCTTTGAAGTTAAACTCTAAAGGTATAAAGCAAATTGCTTCTGGTGGTCCTTAGAGACAGGTATTAAGATAAAGGCATTTGCCAGATCAGTAGCTGCATATCATGTACCTGGAGATGTCTTAATTTGCTCAAGTAAGGATACCACATCTGATACAGCAGCTGCAGTTAGAGTTACTATTTGATTAAGTTTGTGATAATCAGCTGTCATTCTCCACGATCCACTGTACCGGCCAGTTGGAGAGCTGAAGGGAGATGAGGTGGGAACCACCATCCCTGCATCTTTCAAGTCCTTTATGTGGCACTAATTTCTACAATTCCTCCAGGTTCGATATAATCTTTGGTTCACTGTCTTCCCTAGTAGAGGAAATTCCATTTGACCTTTCCAACCATAATAGCCCTTACTTCACTCCGCAGGCCAGGGAACCAATGTGGGAATTCTGCCAGCTTCTAATTATATCTATCCTAACTATATATTCCGGAACTGGAGAAAGAACTACAGGGTTAGGTTGGAGACCCATGGGACCCGCTGTGAGTTGGACTCAACCAAAACTCCACTAACCACCAGACCTCCTTAAGCTATACTTTAACTGGAGGATCACAATGCTCCTTGAAGTTTCCCAGAATCAGTACAGTTTTAAACCAGTATCCACTAGACCCTGGAAAATGATTGTTTCCTTTCCCCAAGTGCACAGTTACCCTTGTGAAGGTCATAGGTCCCTATGGGGAAGGATGAGGAAAAGACTAACATTAAAACCTTTTTTGGGGGTAGGGTGGGGTGTACTTTTGAGCCAGGGTTTCTCTGTGTATCGTTAGCTGTCCTGGAACTCACTCTGTAGACCAGGCTGGCCTTGAACTTACAGAGATCTTCCTGCCTCTGCCTCCCAAGTTCTTGGATTAAAGGCAAGTGCCACCACCATCTGGCTAACAACAAAACTCTTAAGTATTTTAGCAAGGTCCTTCCTCAGGTAGACTGGCCATCCCTTCATTTAAGGAGTTTTGGGTCTGCACATTGGCTCATCTGGAAATTGGTTTACAGGCCAAACTTCCTCTTACTATGATCCAGGATAGCCTTTTTCATTTGTTCCAAAATTTTTCTGCTTATACAAATTAAATAAAAATGTAGTGGACTGATCTGTTTCATTCTTGGAAACACCATGACTGATTGGCCAATACCAAAGGTCCATATGAATCATGCCACCATAAATACCACTTGGTCTGTGCTGCCTATAATGATAACTATAGTCATCTTGTTTTTAACAATTCAATGTTGCCACCTGGTCCCTGCTACTCTGGGGCCCAATTAACCCATCATACATATTTAATTCATCCAATTGAGTACCAGCATCTCCAACTCTAAGATCCAGCACAAGGAAAAGAGCCACCAAAAGCTCTTCAGGTATGCTGATGCCCCTCTCACCATTTTGGGTCTTATAGGATTAGTGAAGGGCCTTCTCATTGTGGAGGGTAAGGTTTCACACATCATATCCACTTTGTCACTGTAGTTTTCCAGAGCTTTCAAACCCTTCATCAACACTAAACCAAGGGATATTAGGCATCTCCAGCTCCTATTTAGTAGGCCATCTTTTGACAAGTGCTTCAACCAACCAATAATTCAAACTTTTGACACTTTTAAAAACTTGATCAAGCTTCCATATTAAATCTAGAATCTCCACACAGTAGATCTATATGTAATGGCTAATCTTTATTGTCCATCTAAAATCAACTAAAACACAAGCAGCTAGCCATGCATCTGAGGAACTTTCTTTATTGGGTCATTTGGGATAAGAGGAACCACCCTAAATCTGGGCCACATAGAAGGACATGGAAGGAGGAAGCTTTTGGGTTCTATCTGCTTGTCCTGTCTCTCACTGGCAAGGTCATCTATCATGCTTCTGAGGCATTACTTTGGGGCATCTTCATACTTTAGAGCCTACTTCATAGGGATTTCAGCATAGACTGAAGAGCAACTAAGACATCCAACCTTGTAAACTGAACAACTACTGGATTATTGGCCTTTCCTTTGGGAGTCAGCCATTGTTGAACTAGCCTGTGAGCCATTCTAATAACCCCCAACCCCTGTTTGTGTGTATTCAGTTAGTTCTAGTCCTCTGGAGAACCCTGACTAATACTGATAGTGGGACCAGAAGTGGGGTAGGTCTTCTCACCTCAAATGATTCCATCATGAGAACCCTTCGTGTGATTGTGGTGTGCCAGCTGCTTGTGCTTTGGTTGATTCCGAGTGTATTCAACTTGACAACCAAGATCAGCCATCACAGGCACTTTTCTCAGGAGACGGGTAGTAAAAGAAACTTCCACACCTCACAGGGGGCATGAAGAAAAATCCTACCACCAACATCGTCCTTACCAGTGAATAAAACAAACCAAAACCAAAAACCTGAATGCTTTTCCCTAAAATGGCAAGAAGACCAGTATGTCTAGTATCACCATTTCTATCAGTCTAGTTCCCATGGCTGTAATAATATAGTTAAGTGTATTAAGATTCTCTAGAGAAAAAGTACTAATAGAACAACTCTCTATATTAAAGTACTTAGGAATAAATTTAACAAACCAAGTGCAAGGTTTATACATTTGACAATTACAAAACATTGCTAGAAGTTAAGGGTGATGTAAGCCAATGTTATCTAACATTCATGAACATGCAATGTTGCTGGCACAGCACACGCACCCCCAAATTAATTTTCTGGCTCAGTGCAGTTCCTATTAAGATCTTAGTAGGATTTATAGGAATTGATAAGCTGAATCTATGAAAGATTTATATGAAAATTCAAAGGTCCTAGAATAGCAACACAACTTGGAAAAACTATAACCAAGTTCAATGACTTACATTTCCCCATTGTGGATCTTACTAATGAAGCTGGAGTAACCCAAACATTATAGTAATAGCATTAAGACAGACATGAGAACTCACAAATAAACCTTTACATTCATGTTTAATTGATTTTCAACAAAAGGATCCAGGCAACTCAGTGGGGGAAATAACGCTCAACCAATGTTGCTGGGACAACTGAAATTTCAAAGAATCAGTTTGATGTTTCTTTGTGCTGTGCTAAAATAATTAAATTAAATATGGATCATAGGCTGAAGGTAAGAGCTAAATCTATAAAACACTAGAAGAAAACAGAAGAACATTCATGGTTTGGTGAGCTCTTAGAAATGACACAGAATCACAATTTATCAAAGAAAATGACTTACCAAAATTAAAAAAAAAAAATACACTTCCAAAGAGAGCAGTAAATGAAAAGATGAGTCACAGACCACAGGAAGCATTTGCCAGTCCTGTTAGATAAAGGATGCCCAGAATGGGTAAAGAATTCTTGCAGGCAAAAGGTCAGGGACTCAACCTTTAAATGGACAAGAGTTGAATAGACATTTCAAGAGAGGTACCTGGATGGCTAATAGACATATGAAAAAGTGTTCCTCATTAGTCACTAAGGAAATGGAGAAGAGAATCCCAGTAAGACCCTATTACATACTCATCAGAAGGGCTGTGTAGAATGGTACTTTTTCTGTGAGTGGGGGGAGTAAGACTCCATGCTACTTGTTCTGTGAGTGTAACGAAGTGCCAGGATACATGGGAAACAATATGCTTAACTGCTGGTGGTCGTAGAACTGGCTGGGTAGAAGATTATTCCCTGCATTTATTTAATTTCAAATATTTTCATTCTTTGAGAATTGTATATGTGTACAATGGATTTTGATTATATCTACCCCCTCTTCCCATTTGAACTCTCTCTGGACCCCCTTCCCAGCACATCTTCTCAACTTCATTATCATCTCATCTTCCTCATCTTCCTCCTCCTCCTCCTCCTCCTCCTCCTCCTCCTCCTCCTCCTCCTCCTCCTCCTCTCAACCCAATGTGTCCATTAATGCTGCCTGCATGTACCTGAGGGTGGAGC